TGTGGGTGGAGACCTTAGAAGACTATAACATAAACTAAACAAACCTTTCTCCAGGTATTCTTCACCCATTGGAGGTGGTGGTGGCGGCATAGGTGACTGCATAGGTGACTGCATATCTTCAGGAGGCAGTGGTAATGCAAGYGATGATGGAGTGCTATAGAAGTCTTCAGTGGGCGGTGGCGGTGGTGGACTTATGATGTCTAAATAAATCAATCACATTGGTAAGAAAAATAATCCAAGACAAGAACAAAATCAATAAATCAGAATGATTTTAGCACTTATAATTAAAAAGTACTATTCATGTTTCATGGATTGAGTATGTTGAGCAAAGACAAATATCAACTATCAATGACAACTAGGTTAGTTCACCCACCMCTCMCCCAATTTTCATTTCAGTGTTCTTACCATCAACAGCTTCATATGTATCTCTTTCTTGGACACTTGCTGGTGGTGTACCACCTATTGGRAATGGTGGTGGAGGAGGTGGTGGTGGTGAATGTCCACCCATTTCTGGTGGTGGTGGAGGTGCCACTGGAGGCTGAACAATAACCTTATTGGGATTAACAACAGGACCTGCAGAGGGTGGTGGGGGTGGGGGTGCAGCAGGTGCAGAAGTTTGTATGCTGTCATAGGTCATGTCATAATCAGCTGGAACTGATGGTGCAGTTGGTGCAGTTGGWGGTGGCACAGGAGGTGGTGGTGGTTTTGTGGAGATTCCCATGCGAGTTCCAGGCTTGGCACGTAGGCTAGCAGGTTGTGCACTAGGAGCAGGGGAAGGTGCCTTTTTACTTGACTTGYGGCGCTGAATATTGTCTGTTTGAGCTAGCTTAACACCATGTCCTAATAAAATCATTGACTCATTCAATACCAAAAATGTCTTTAATGGATTAATGGATAAGTCATAATTATTTTAAAATATTATTATAAAAAGATTTTATAATAATAATTGTGCTTGCAAACAATTAACAATAAGAAGGTTTGAGTTTTACAAAATTTACACTGATGAAAAACTCTTTTCTGAAATAGCGTTGTCTATTGTTTACCTTTGTTTATCAGTCAAACCTAACATAAAACTTTTTGTGTTATAGCTAAGTCTTAAAAACTACAGTTCTATGTTTTGCTCCTACTCAGGCCACATAGGTCTGTGTGCATGAGGTTGCTGACCCCACAATTTTGCAATTTTTTTTCCACCAAGTTTGACCTGATTACTCTACAATCTCCTGTCTAGATGAGGTCGTTATAACCCCAATTCAATGTACTTTAATTAGAAAAGCTCTAATCCAGCTAAAACGTTTGAAAGCTAGTACTGGAATTCAAATCATATAAACATTACTCAGCCAACATGATCTAAAATAGAATAATATTTACCAATGTCATCCAGGATGCTGTAATCAATTTGTTTTCTTGAGTATCTTTCAGGTTTYTCTTGTTTAGAAGGAGCAATTATCTTGTGAGTACGAGTTGTGTTTTTGCTGGTTGCCAACACTCCTATTTCCCGACGTGCAACTTTTTCTTTGTGGATATTAACAGTCTTAAATCAAAAAAACACCATAGTCAGATATTTTGATATTAGAATTTATTTTGTGAAGTGGGATTAACCTCATTTATTTTATACTTGACATGGTTTTCTTTGTTATTCATGGTTCTTTTTTTTCATATTTACCACATTCTTAAAGCAGGGGAGGGATTTGAATCGCAGCAGGGAAAATTGGGGTTAATAATTGAATTGAATTCTGAAATTATCATAAAATTAAGGGATGTATGAAAACCCTTCAGAGATGTATGGTTATACATCCCTGGGRCTATGTTGATACATCCTACATTTATGATAAATTCTGTCGTACTTTTAGTCAACTCACAATCCATAGTAATAAATTAAACTACAAAGTTAAAAAAGTTTTTACAAACTGTTAATTGTATAGAACAATATATGCCTATTTAAGTGTTTGAACAGAACTGTTTAYGTTTCCTTTGTCMGATAAGTAACTGGTAYGTAATGATATGTTTCCCTTGAGTATAGTATTCTGTTCTTAGTAGTTCGTAATATGTAAATTCGTTTAGTTTTCATGTTGTAGTCAAGCCGTGTAATTCACCGACAAGGTAAATTTGAATTGTATTTCTATATTTTATTTCTTGTAACCTGTAGTTAGTAGCTTTGTAATGTACCGTATACATAATATTTTGTCGACTGTGAATACATGTAGAACCACATTTAACTCTGTGCATCTCTTGGTTGAATTTTGGCTACAACACAAACAAAAAACAAGCAATTTTCAAACTTTATAGCATTTCCGGACCCAGTGCTCTTTTGGTTAGTTCCATTTGCGCTAATCATTCTCAGCATCGTTGTTCTTTTTCTTGGCAACAACACGCTTTCAAATGCTTTTGATATTTCAACTTTAGTGGAAACACAAAACATCAGGGCGTTGTTATTTCTGCAGTGACCTAACRTCTCAGTGGCTGAAGGTTTAGCGCTAACCAAACTAACCAAGAAGACTAAGACCAATAGATCAGGAAATGCTGCTAACGATGAAATCTCGTCCTCTCAACCCTCCATGCGGAAACTACGTGGCAGAAGACCTGTATGCGCGAAAACGTTGGAGAAGAGTCCAATATCTAGCTGACCAGTTCTGGTCACGTTGGAAGCGGGAATACTTGCAGAACCTACAGCGACGTCCAAAGTGGCAAGATCAGCAAGTCAATCTGCAGGTTGGAGACATTGTCGTGGTCAAGGATGCCGCAGCCCACCGCAACAACTGGCCTCTCGGAAGAGTACAGGAAGCTATCGAAAGCGAGGACGGCATCGTCAGGAAGGCCAAAGTCGTGATGCACGAAGGGGGTCACACCAAGACATTTCTGCGTCCCATCACCCAGCTAGTGTTGCTTCTGTCYCCCAAGGAAGATAATGAGTAAAGCCTACTCAGAACACTAAGACATTATTTTCGTACATTTATATTTGATTATTTTTTAGTAAGCATTTAGTCGGTTACTGTTAGAGCAAGGATTGTATCCTTGGGCGAGGAGTGTTGTGTTTATACACCATTTAGCCTCCGTTTAATCAACTAGTTACGTAAGCATTTCCGGTGTTATTTGATATTCTCCATAGTCTCTACACACCACATGCTATCAGTATTCATACAAAGCTTGATTTACTTGTACGCCTACCAGATGTAAGTGCTATATTTCGTTTATTCTACTTGTATTTTTAACATTTATCTACCTATTGTAATTGTAATTGCTTATCGTAGTTTTCACCGTGTGGATTAATAAAGAATAAGTTGATACACTGGTTGACACTGGCGTCTCCGCGATTCGCTATCGACTGGGGACGCGACAAAAGTCATACAATACAATCCTATCACTCCACTCAGTGAAGTGAAGTCATTCTCACCAGATGATATGAAATAGTTAGGAAAAGTATATAAAATCCATAGGGTTATGGTTACATGTAGCTACCCTTAATGAATATCAGTTATCATTGATTATGATTAAGTAAAATGTGTGATGAATATGATTGCCACAGTGTAAATAATAATCTAAAGCGATTATTAATAAATGTATGGATTGCACACAAAAAACGGGAATCAAACCCATGATCTCTGCGTTGCCGGGGCAGTGCTCTACCAAACTGAGTTATGAAGACAACTATGTTGGCAAGCGGTCATTTTATTGTGTAAACCCATCCATACTAAGGAACACATACATTCATGAATAATCGCTTAGATTATTATTTACACTGTGACGATATATTCATTACACAGATTATTCACCACACTTTGAACCATATTACTTCATGACATAAAGTAAAATAACAATTCCATACCAGAAGAATGGCCATTCATAACTACAGGACTTTGAGGCTGACTTGCTGGCAAATTTGATTCTTTCTTATTATCCTTTTACAAAAACATAGGTAATACACAATTTAATAAAATCTAAACAATACTTCCTCCTATTGGCAACAGTTAATAACATACACTGAGCTTTGACAATGACATAAATATATGTATTCTTGAGGTTTCTTATTGTAAAGTACCTTAACAATTTCTGAATCAGGATCGTACTTGTCCAGCAGTTCTTTGGCTGTTTTATATGTTTCCT